TTAAAAATTAATATTTTTAAATAAAAAAATTAAAAACTGATATTTTTATTTATAAATTAACAAAATTAACATTCTTTAATAAAAAAATACAAAATTTGTATACTTATTTACACCATTTCTCGTTAATTGCTACCTCTAAGTTTCATATTCGAGTTTTTCTACTAGTTTGTTGTTAATTTGTGATTTATTAATTGTACTTGAATTATGGTTGTAAAAGCACTCATGTTAAAAAAGATGGCCCTTAAACAAGCAAAATAAAAGGAGGTTTTTACTGGGACGTGGTTATCGCCTGATAAAGTGTTAAGACTACATACATATTAATACTTTTTTTCTTATAAATAGTTTACTATTGTATTTAAAAATATTAATTTATAAATTAATTTCATTTTATTAAGTAATAAATACTTATAATTTTATTATTTATCATTAACAAATATTATTATTAATTATTTATAATCACTAAACTAAACAAAATCAATATTTTAAATGACAATATACAAAATTTAAGGTTATCATAACCATATCCCTTCTGTTGTGCATACCTAGTACATGATTTCTTGTTTATACATTCGCCTTTGTTCCTGTATAGAACTATAGTAACTAGAATGTGGTAACATTTTAAAAACCGACTAGGTGATCGGCCCTTTTTTATTACTAGGTCTAGGTCAACTAATTCAATAAGTTTAACCAAGTAATTCAACCGGCAATCAAAAACTTTGATTCTTTTAATAACTTTTGTACATTTTACTAATATATACTATTATTATTCTATTTTCAAGACATAATTACTTTCAAAATAACCCAAAAATAATAGTAGAAGTTACTAAAAAACTTTTATTTAATTAAATAGATGATAATTCGAAGGTCAAACTAAAAATCTGTCAAAAGACAAAAGACATAATAAAAAAAATCTAAATCTAAATTAAAAGATAAGAATCTAAGTGAATTAAACATGACCAACAAGGAGAAGCTCATCGCAAACTAAATTCACAATAAAATAAATATTGGATAAAAAAAAGAAAAGAAAAGAAACTTTTAAACTAATTTAATAATAATATTAGGCACTCTTGGAACCACTGCCCTGGACTAATTTCCTAACATGTCATGTGAGAAAGATCAAACTTCATTCATTTTAGAGGCTTGACGGTGTAAAGAACTTAAGCACTCTCTTATCCAGTTCCCTGGACTAATTTAAAGAAGACACTGAGTCAAATCTGGTCTCCATAAGAAAAAATATAAGAAAATACCTAAAAATCCATGAAAATTTCCAATTCCCATCATTTTATTTTGCCATTGTAAAAGGGACGCAGGCAAGTAGATCCAAAGAGCAGCAATAGAATAGAATACTCAAATCTGTATCAGTTCCAATAACCAATCCCAATTACTGATAACTTAAACCCACAAATTGTTTATAAAAAGTGCTCTAATTAAAATAATAGATTGAGATTGACAAGGCACATGTAGATTATATAATCAAACATCAATAAGATCTGTAAACACCCATCAGAAGATCTAAGATCAAAAAAAAAAAAAAAATCCCTAAAACTTTGAATGGTGGCCTCCGACTTGATTTGAAGAAAGGGTGTGGAGGCGTAGAGTTGAGGAAAGAGAGTAGTGATGGAGATGACCGGATTGTGAGGGATTTTCGATAGAGAGCAGTGGACGGAGATGGCCGTAAGGTGGATAATCGGGGTGGCTGTTGGCTGCTGTGGTGTGGTGGTGGCTGCGGATTATAGAGTTCGGCAGAGCTGCAGAGGTAGAGGCGACCGGAGAGGCGGAGACGATCTACGATGGGCAATGGAAACGGAGGAAAAAGAGGCATAGCCGCATAGGCTTATGAATTTTCCAATTTTGGGTATTTTGCCGAATTAATGTTAATACGGGTATAACAGCGAGAGAGGGTTTCTCCCATTGCTTGCCAACTTACTTTTTCATGTTAATGTAACGGGTTGTGTGTTAGTTTTAAACTCTTTATTTTATATTATAAAATTTTTAAATAAATAATTTATTAACCTAAATAGAAAACATAAATAATTTTGGGCTAATTTATCATTTAAATAATTAAATTTTTTAATTTATATGAGATTCATGTTAAATAAATAATTTATTAACCTAAATAGAAAACATAAATAATTTTGGGATAATTTATCATTTAAATAATTAAATTTTTTAATTTATATGAGATTCATGATATTAAATATACTTATTTATTTAATAATATGTAAAAATTATATTAAAAGTTGAAATAAAAAAGTTTGACCCTAAAGCACTTGTCAATAGAAAGAGCTCAATTTTTAAAATAAAATTTAAAATTTAAGTTTTATCAATAAAAAAAAATTCTAAAGACACTTTTTTTTTATTATATCCAATTTAACTTGATTTTAAATTAGTTAATTTTAACGTGACTTTTGGACAATGAGGATTAGTTCAAAAAAGAAAAAAAAAATAAAGTTTTTAGCTTTTAAACATAAAAGTATGAAAATTTTAACTATTAATCTAATGCAATCCGTTAACTCTTTATTAAAGTTAAAATAAAATGTTTATAATATTAATACTTAAAAATTAAAAATATAATAATTTA